TCCCCTTCTCCTCCTGCCTTCAGTCTGTCTCAGCATCAGGATCTTTTCCAATGAGTCGACTCTTCCCATCAGGTGGCCAAAGTATTAGAGCTTCACCTTCTGCATCAGTCCTTCTAATGAATACTCAGGGTTGATTTCCTTTAGGATTAATTGGTTTGATCTCCTTGCTATCCAAGGGACTCTCAAGAGTCTTCTCCAGCACCACAGTTCAAAGGCATTATTGTATTTATAAGGGGCATTAGACAATCACCTCTAATTCTTTGAATTTTGTGTTTATCATCTTCAAAGTGATGATTGCTTAAGAACTGGAAGATGAAAAAAAAACAGAACTGGAAGATGCACCTCTTCATATACACCTAGGAACCGACTCCAGTGCTAGTTCACTCTAAACCTGGGAGAGCCTGATGAATCTAGCCATCTTCTTAAGGGGAAGAACAGTGAATGAGTGTGTAACTTTTTTCCTGAGTGTCACATGAGCCCTGAATACAGAAGGACAGTGATCTAAAAAGTATTGAGCTTCCCTGATGTGGCAGTACTCATTCCTGCAAGGACAGAGTTACCAGAAGCTACACACCTGATCAGGAATTCTACTCTTCTGAGGGATGCCGCTTGTCTGTGGCTGTCTCTTTGGCTTCCATTAAGCTTCTGTGCATCTGGCCAATTAGCGTGGGACTTGACCCAGTCTACACTGTGTTTGTTCATTGGTATCAGTTCTCCAGTAAGGCATACATACCACCCCTAACACTTCACTGAGACCCACTTTTCTGTGTATGGAAGTGTTTTTTTTTGTCCACACATCCCCATCTTTTAAAAGATATGCTTAGAGTGAGCACCATGATTATTCATCTTAATGATTACCCACATCTTGTAAAGGTTGATGCGTAGTGGGTCCTCCAATATTTAACTGACTAGAGAAACAAAGCAGTTGTACAAACACTTTATGCTTTAAAGCACTTAGTATTTATTATTTTATTTGGCTCTTCAGCCAGTGGATTTTAAACTATGATATCAAGGCATGATGTTGTTCCTTGAGCTGAACTGAGGGCTTTTGCATCTAAAATTTAATGAGTCTTATCTCGATTGGTTGAAAATCACCAATGAGGGGTACTTCTTTTCCACTTTTGAAATTCCTTTCCACCTCAACTTTTTTTTTTCTTAAAAGCTTAAATTTCTTTCATAAGTGTATACCTGTTTTTGCACAGAATTGTGTTTTACTATTTTCATTTACATAGTATTCCAAGAAAATTCACTTGACTCCTGCGAGTTGAGCTTTTCAAGCAGATAAGGTAACATTGCTCAGAAGAGCTAGTGCTATACCCTCCTTTTTCGCATGTGTGGATATGTGAGGAGGAGGTTGATTCCTGTATAAAAATTATTTGTCAGACAGTGGTGTGTCTCATACATGCCTTATTTTACTTCAGCTTTCCATCAGCTCTGTTATGCAATGATATCACCAGGTGTTAAAGATGAACTTGGGTCACAGAACAGTCCATTGTCACAGAGCCAGGAGAGGTGAAGTTCAGTCTGTTTGATTCCAAAGTCCAGGTCCTCTCCACTGTCCTCACACTGTAGTTTTTAAGAGTCTAATCTTTACTAAACTCCTTCAAGCAGATGTTATATTTTAAATGCCCCCGCCCCACAGGAGTTTATATAAAACTGAATATAGTTGACTCTCTCTCTCATTTCAACTTGGCTTACAAGGTCTGCCTTCTACCCTATTATATACATTCAAAAAGTGTGTTAGTTGCTTAGTCATGCCTGACTCTTTGTGACCCCATGGACTGTAGCCTGCCAGTCTCCTCTATCCGTGGAATTCTCCAGGCAAGAATACTGGAGTGGGTAGCCATTCCCTTTTTTCAGGGGATCTTCCCAAACCAGGGATTGAACCCAGGTCTCCTGCATTGCAGGCAGATTCTTTACCATCTGAGCCACCAGCAAAGCTCCATATTGCATCCATGGATTTGCTCAAATCATCTTAAGCGCTTCTGATTACTTGCTTACTCTTATACCCTGGAATGTGTCTTCCCTTGTTTTTAAACTGTAACTCTCTCTTCCAGTCACCTTTGAATGGTGTTGAGAATTTAAAAAATTAAATTTTAAATTGTCAAGTGAAAGATTGTTTAAAACTCTGTCACTTTCGTATTTAAAAATATTCATTGGAGACAGCAAAGGAAAAATTAGGTGACTTAACAGGAGGGGTTTAGTTGTGGGATTCTGAAAAGTGGAGAACAAAACTTATTCCTGAAGAGTTGACAGTGGATTTAAGAAAGACCTCGTTGTTTTAAAGTTTGTTTGTTAACTTTCCAAATAGTTGGTCCACAGGCACAAAACTGAACTGTCATCTTCTGTGGGCCATGCTATGGTACCGTGGGATATTGATTGATCACAGAAATCCAAATACATGTTATTATAAAATATGTTTTAAATAATTTATTTTTTTTGTTAAAACAGCAGATATTAAGACAGTGAGACTACAACAACAACAAAAGGGATCAGTCATGTTTTTTAAGTTGAAGGAAAACTATATGGTGTAGCTTAAGGAAAATATATTTATTACCCAAGAAGAATGTCTTTCTTTCGCCCTTCTTCTCACTCTCTTCCTTCCACCAGCATAAATACACATTCTGTGTATATATATATAGGTACATATGTATATGCATGTGTGTGTGTGTGTGTATATATATATATACACATATAGGTATGGGACTTAGCTGAAAATCTGTGTAAGTGAAATTGTCAGTCACTGAAATATTCATCTCTGTGCCTCTGAATCAACTTATTTTGTGACCTTGGTGTCATGTACTGTGCACGCATGCATGCTAAGTTGCTTCAGTCGTGTCCCACTGTTTGCAACCCATGGACTGTAGCCCTGCCAGGCTCCTCTGTCCATGGGATTCTGCAGGAAAGAATACTGGAATGGGTTGCGATGCCCTCCTCCAGGGGATCTTCCCTATCTAGGGATCGAACCCGAGACTCAACATCTCCTCTGTTGGTGGGTTCTTTACCCAGAGTACTGCCTGGGAAGCCCGTCATGCACTAGTTTGACACATTTTTTATTTTTGTTTGTTTGTTTTCCAGTTTGAGATCATTGATGTACTTGTTTGAGTTAAATGCTTAGAAACAAACCAGAGTTTCACAAAATTAGCCCTGTTCTCTTCTTAATTTTAAAGATAATGGGTTACTTCTGAGGATATTACATTTAGACTAACTTGTTCACTTGGCGTTAATGGTAATTCAGGGGCATAACCCGAGAGACTTAGTCTTCAGATCAGCTGACAGAGAGAAAAACATCCTGGTGTGAAGCTGGGACTCTATTGTCTAAATTTTATGGTGCTTTCTCTTTTTCTCTTTTATTTTCTTGTTTTTTTGTGGTTTTCTTTTTTTGTTTGTTTGTTTCAGAGAATAATTGCCAACCATAGAACTGTTGGTGTGTCACTTGCTTAAGAAACGTTTTATGCAGTTGATTGTACATGCAAAGCAGAAAGAGACTCCCAGACACAGAAAGCAAACTTAGAGTTACCAAAGGGGAAAGGGAAAAGGGGAGCCACCAATTAGGGCACACGATTAACCGATTTACACAGAGCTATGTGTTAAATAGGTAAGCAACAAGGATAAACTGCATAGAACGGGGAATTATACCCATTAATTTATAATAATCTGTAGTGGAATAGAATCTGCAAAAATGCTGAATCACTCTGCTATCCACCTGAAACTAACACAATGTTGTAAATCAACTATACTTGAAAAAATGTTTAAGGTGGAGGTAGAGAATAATGTAGTGAAGTACCTATTAATAAAAAATAAATAATGGAACAGGAACTTGGACTTTATTATACCTTTTGGCATAGTGTTTCATCCTCAGTAGCACATTAATTTCTTATTATAAAATAAGTTTTTTTTTTTTAAAAAGCAACTTCTAACTGAATAAGGGTGAAAGGTGTAAGAAATTCTATGTTTTGTACACAGAATAAGGATGTTATAGCACATAGAAAAATCGGATTTGTAAATAACTTCAAAATGGATTCACTTTTTATAACTGTACCATGTAGAATGAAGTATGAAAAATGTTATTTTAAACTGTGATAGCTTGAATTACTTTCACAATATTGATAAACAGAGAATTGCATTTCTACTATTTTTTCCCTAGAGGCACACAAATATAAAGTTAATTTTTATAAGAGCAATTTTTAAGTCACAGATTTTTGGAGAGTTTCCTATATAGTGGTCAGTTGTGTATGAAACAAATTATTTTTAGCCTAATTGCAGGCAGAGTAGTTAGGCCACTCACTCTGTTAAGGTTGAATTTCATTTGAACTTTCTAATAGTATGATTTGTTTTCAGAATTTAATAACTGACTCAAATATTTAATAGTGAAAGCTTTCATTAAATTTAAAAGAAATCAGGATATATTTTTAGAAGAGCTAACTTATTTTCCTTATCAGTTTTATCTACTTTAGGAGAAAAGAAAGAGAATGAAGCCCATCTCTTTGTGAATTTAAACAGACATTAATGCTATAACCCCAGCAAATAATTTATTTCAGTATATATCATCATTTAGAAGAGTTGGGAAGCACCAAATGGCAGTAATAACTATACTTCCAGCTCTCCTGAATAGCAAATTGCACTGACTCTGTGAAACTCTTCACTTGTCTGCTGGATAGTCATTCTTTTTAAGACTCAAATATATTTTCTAGACCAGTTTTCGATTGCACATTGTCTACTTTCATACTGCCTAACCGTTTTCTGTTGAGTACAACGACTTATTTTGAAATGTGAGTGGGGAAAGCCAAGAGTTGAAAGATTTTGTTTCCATGTGTCATCCTAGAAATAGATGACAAAAAGATCATTAAACGGATTAATTTACAGGCATCCTTAGAATAGAATGTTTTTACGTTAAAGCCTGTTATAAGCCTTTTAAATTAAATTGCATTGTACCATACTCTTTGCTCCCCCCGCCCCCAGGGGTCTCTTGACCTCTCACCTCTTATTTTGTCCTCTAGGCACTCCACTACTGGTGAGGAGAAGCAGTGACCCAGCGCCAAGCCCACCCGCTGATGCCCAGTCAAGCGCTTCACTCCCCGGTGGTCAGAGTCTGAAACCTGTGATTCCAGTAGGTATCCTGTTGTTTGCATTTCTAGTAAAAGATCAAAGCACCTTACACATAAACTAACTGGGACATTACAGTCTTAAGTAAGTGAAGGATTAGAGATATTTTGATAGGGTATGTAATATTACTTATAAGATTAATAATAACTAATATGAGCTATTGCTAATATCAGTTATAGTGAGAGCTATTATTTATAGAGCACCAATTGTGTGCCTAGGACTGTTTAAAGGGCTTTACATGGTCATCTACACTTCCACCTCAAAGTACCAACTTGCTTTTGTCTCCATTTTACTGATGATGTAACTGAAGCAGAAGGAGGTCTAATGATTTATCAAAGGTCACAGCTAGTAAGTGGCCAAGTCAAGACTTTAACCCAGGTGGTCGGCTGCAGAACCTGTGCTCTTAACTAGTACACTATACAATTGGATCCCTCATCCTCTTGCTTCATGATGCTCCAAGAGATAGTTTATCTGTTTGTGGTATGTTCATGCAATGCTGTGTGAAGTCATATAATGGTGAATGGTTTCACAATACTGGTATCATAGACATGTGGTACCAATAACCGAGTTTCTACATCTCAACATTCAAATGAAGGCAAAGTGAAATTAGATACCAGAATGCTTACACCTAATAAAGCTTACAACTGCTTTACTTCTAACTGAGAAGCGAAGTGGAGAATAGCTTACTAAGAGACCATGTCCTCTTTCCATATGAAACTGTGGGATTTTTCTGCTAAATCCCAATCTTCTTTGAAGAGTTGTAATTATGGTTCATTCTCTGAAATTGCCTAAGAGTTAGGTTTTCAGTGATGGCTGGTATCATTGCAATAAGTGATCTTCAATAATGGCACCCTATTTAAAAAATTTTCTGAAAGTGAATCTCTTCTCCATTTTAAGTCTCACTGTGTATGACGCCTTCAGAAAAAAAGGCAATGTTTTTGGTATGTAGAGATACTGAGTGAACTAAATGGATTCTCCCAGGGTGAAATAAAATATTCTTAGTAAGAAACTGTTAATGTGTACGACAGCTTCCCTGGTGGCTCAATGGGAAAGAATCCACCTGCCAATGCAGGAGATATGGGTTTGATCCCTGGGTTGGGAAGATCCCCTGGAGAAGAAAATGGCAACCCACTCCAGTATTATTGCCTGGGGAGTCTCTTGGACAGAGAAGCCTGGTGTTCATGGGGTTGCAGAGTCAGACATGACTTAGCAACTAAACAACAATAATGTGTATGAAGTAGGGGTCACCATACTAACTCATGGGGTAATTAAATAGGTTTACAGCAATATTTCGCATGTTTCTTTTTGTAAGCCTGGAAGTGTCCTGGAAATATTTTAGATGTAATGTTTTCTCACTTTCCATCCTTATAAGGAAACATATTTAATAGAACATTATTTTAATAAAAATCAGGTGTATGTGTTCTGCTCTAATGATGAGTATAAACAGAACCAGTATGTGGTGTGGCATTTGTATGTGTGTTTAATGCCCACTGATTGAGCCCACGTTAAGCCTAAATATATTGGATTGGAGGAAGAGAAGAACTATAAAAATGAGAGAAGAATTACATAAAGGAGAAAAACTATAATTTACTGCTTATTTTTATGATTTAATATACCCCCAAACTGAAGTGTGATCTGTGTTACCATGATTTACATGCAGAAACCCCACCAATATTAGGTCCATGTTTCTATCACTCAGGCTCTGTGTTGAGATCAACTGAAAATACAACAATAAAGCTTTCCCTAGACAAAGAGAGGGCTACTATCTTTCTGCTACATTCTATATCCTTAACAAAATATGATACCGCCATGTTCCAAGCTGGGGTGTTTGGAGAGGACTATTCAGGACTGATTTCCTTTACAATTGACTGGTTTAATTTCCTTGCTGTCCAAGAGACTCTCAAGAGTCTTCTTCAACACCACAATTCAAAAGTGTCAATGCTTCAGCGCTCAGTTTTCTTTAGGTCCAACTCTCACATCCCTACATGACCACTGGAAAAACCATAGCCTTGACTAGATGGACCTTTGTCAGCAAAGTAATGTCTCTGCTTTTTAATATGCTGTCTAGGTTTGTCATAGCGTTTCTTCCAAGGAGCAGGTGTCTTTTAATTTCAAGGCTGTAGTCACCATCTGCAGTGATTTTGGAACCCAAGAAAATAAAGTCACTAGGTGTTAAATGAGGACATTTAGGTGTGTTTATTTTTACCAAGAAGAAAATGCATTTGTATGTGCGAAAGTGCACACACACACGTGTGTAACAGCTATCCCCCTTTATCTCTGTACTTCCTAACTCATGTGCTAGTTACACCTGCTTGTCCAGTGTCATAACCACCGGCCACATGTGGATATTGAGCACTAGAAATGCATTTCAAGTGTGACATACCCACTGGATGTCAAAGATTGAAATATGAAAAAAGTAATATAAAAAACCTTATTAATAATTTTTTATTGACTCCACATCAAAATGATACTAGGTTTGGTAAATTCGGTTGAATAAAGTATATTTAAACTGTTTTCACCTGTTTCTTTGTACTTTAAAAAAGACACAGCTACTAAAAAATTAAAAATTACATCTGTGGTTCACATTGTATTCCTATTGGACAGAGCAGCTCAGACCTAAATAAAATTGGATATAGCACTAATGAAATGGTTTGAGACCCTTGAGAGAAAGTTCTTTGAGTTGCACATCATCTCTGGGGTAACAGTATGATTAGGTTTGCCTGGGGCAGTCTGAGTTCATGTGGCATATTTATTAATCGTGTCCCTGCTAACTCTCAGAGGTGTCCATGTATGGATGATAAATTACGTGGCACCCTACACATAGCCCTGTAGTCACTTGTAGTGTTTGCTCAGTGATCAGAGGAGCAGCCTTCCAAGGAAACCATGGGAACGTAGCAACCACAGCTCTTACCTGGGAGCACACTGCCCAGCGGACTCTGTGTGTCTCGGGCCTGAGCCCAGGCGGTGCAGAATTGGAGACTATAGATTCACCATCTCTCAGACTCTGTAATTCTATCCATGCTTCCTCTATCACTTCAGCTACAGTATAGTTGATTCCTGTGGTTTGATAAGGGATGATGAAAACAGGGAGCATGTGATAATGTACCCATGTAGCCACTGATATGAAAAATAATTGCTTAAAAAGCTCCATTCTATTGCATTTCATTTCAATATCCAAGAAGAAAAGCAACTACAACAAAATTCCCACTCTTAAACAGAGTGTTCATATGTAAGTAATTCACAGATGGCAGAGCCCCAAGTGGGTTACATTCAATCATTCCCAAGAAATGAGACTTACTTAAAATCCACAGCAAAAGAAGCTGTAAGAATGAATATTTGACACATTTGATTATGTTGAAATATTGCGTCTAAAACCACAGTTGATGATTGTTATTTTTAGTTGTACTTCATTAGACTTGCTCTAGAAGGGAGATTTTTCTTTGATGTCCAGAGATATGTTTTTTGAAATGCTGGAAAAGTCACACTTGTTTTCTGGCTGGTGAAATTATTACAGATTGGTTATTTAAGATGTACAGCCTTGAACAAGTTGAAGTTTTTAAAAAGGGTTTAAAGTAGAAAAATCAGATCTTCAGCAAATTTCTAATTCTGTGAATATTACAAAGCCACGAAACCTCAGTATTTGTCTCTAAGAGTACCACTAGATAAATTTGTTTCCTTTCTTCCTCTTTTCATAAACCTTTCCAGTTAGTCAGAATAACATGATTATTAATGTGCATATATTATATGACTATTTATCTTTCAAGGAATAGAAAATTCAATTTGACTGACTGCTTGTGGATCAAAGAAGGAGAATCCTGGGGGCAAGATAGTGTAGTAAGAATCTCCTTATGGGCCTCTAACCTTCCCTGCCTTGATTGTAACCTGGTGTTCTTGGCTTAAGGGCATGCCATAAAGCCAGGTTCTTGAAATTGATGTTCCTGAATTTGCGGATGGAAGAGAACTCCAAAACAGATGTGATTTTTTTTCCCCCTTAATATCCGGTTAACTACCATGGTTGTTTTGTGTTTTAATGACTGTTTATGGTTTCACGTTTAACCCTAGGGCAAAATGATCCTGCAGGGTGAGTAAATTAAAAAGTGGATTCCTGAAAACTATAATGCTGTGCTTGTTCTCTTTGTCTGTTCTAAAACTATTTCTTGTCTTGATTCACCAAAATAAATTAAGAAAATACTGGTCTGTTTTTTAGGCTATATCTAAAATATATGCATTTTATTTCCAAAAATAGCATGGTCGTCTTTGAAGTTGTTAAACTGGAAGTCCATGGATGGGTCACAGAGGGTCTGTTAAGTCCGTCAAGTTTTATGCATGGCATAGTGTGTGTGTGCGTCTGTGCATGCACGTGTGTTTATGTGTGTGTATGTGTGTCCTGTGGAGAAGGCACTGGCACCCCACTCCAGTGCTCTTGCCTGGAAAATCCCATGGACGGAGGAGCCTGGTGGGCTGCCGTCCATGGGGTCACTAAGAGTCGGACACGACTGAGCGACTACTTCATCGTCCCTTTTCCCTTTCATGCACTGGAGAAGGAAATGGCAACCCACTCCAGTGTTCTTGCCTAGAGAATCCCAGGGACAGCGGAGCCTGGTGGGCTGCCGTCTATGGGGTTGCACAGGGTCAGACACGACTGAAGCGACTTAGCAGCAGCAGCAGCGGGCGCATGTGTGTCCTGAAGGTGCTTTATCACCCTTATCAGATGTTACAAGGAATACAAAAGACCAAGAACTGCTTGTTTTGAGGTTTAGAATGAAATAATGTGTGGAAGCCACTAATTCTCAGAGTATGATGAAAGATAAAGAAGTAAAGTGGAAGTTACTGCTGTCGTCCAAATGTGTATTAAATAATTAAGGTTATTTCATCATAATGTTGCGCTTCCTTCATGGCTCAGTTGGTAAGGAATCCACCCGCAATGCGGGAGACCTGGGTTCGATCCCTGGGTTGGGAAGATCCCCTGGAGGTGGGCATGTCAACCCACTCCAGTATTCTTGT